ATCAGCCCCACCTCCACCTATCACCACAGCCGCATCAACTCCCCTACCACCTCTCACACGTCTGCCAACTTCCACCCTCACTGGAAAATTTAGCTCCAACAGCTGCTGTGCAGGGACTGCTGGTACGGGGAGGCGATATCGAGGTGCATTATCCAGCTCATGATCCGGTCGAATGCAGGTCACATGCATTTTTGCCTCTTTCGCCACCTCTGCACCTGGCACCATTCCGGGCTTGAACCAGCCACAGATTGTCCATCCAATGCCCGCTTCATCGTAAAAGTTTAGCATATCCTGGCATGCTTCTCTCACTTTCACATGGTCAATGAGGTCTCCTGCATTTACCTGCAAATAAATAACATTGTTTCATTAAATACATGTCTTGTGAAATACGCATGTAACCAATTACTTACAGGTTTTACATATAACCAGAAACTGTTCCCACTTCCTTTCAACGAATTCGTTACACATTCTTCATATTAGACAACTTTGACTACATGCATTCAACCAATTCGTGACAGATTTCACACACATTCAATGAATGACTTACACGTTTCAGATAAGAAATATCGACACGGTTCTCATTTCTTTACATGATGCCCTTTCCCGACAGTTGTTTTAGGATTCCTAAATATTGTCGTTTCACTGATTTTTTCGCCGGATGCACTGATTCCTAATTACCACATCCAAGAGTAGATAAATAACATAAATATAACATAACATAAAATGTCATTTATCTATACTCTTGCCCATCGCATTTACTCCCCCTACTACATTTAGTTAATCGAATGCCCGACTTTTTTAACTGCTGAGGATGTAAGTGTCTCAAAGTACCTTGCTACATTCCTCCTCCATCAGTAGCTTGGTCAAGGCTCCTGATTGGAATTTCGCGTTGGTGATGCCAGCAGCCCGCGACGACACAACACATCGCAGGAGCAGCTTGTTCGGTGTTCCGCTTGTCAAGGCGCAACAGCGTTCCGAAACGCCATGCTGCCCGTCGCACATTGCTGCCCCACATCCCTCTACAACGTTCACTCT